TCATATCCCCCCAACAGACCCCAGTGTGTAGTGCTTCCCTCCCTGTGTCCATGTGTTCTCATTGTTCAACACCCGCCTATGAGTGAGAACATGCGGTGTTTGATTTTCTGCTCTTGTTTGAGTTTGCTGAGAATGATGGTTTCCAGGTTCATCCATGTCCCTACAAAGGACACGAACTCATCATTTTTGATGGCTGCATAATATTCCATGGTGTATATGCACCACATTTTCCCTGTCCAGTCTATCATCGATGGGCATTTGGGTAGGTTCCAGGTCTTTGCTACTGTAAACAGTGCTGCAATGAACATTCGTGTGCATGTGTCCTTATAGTAGAACGATTTATAATCCTTTGGATATATACCCAGTAATGGGATTGCTGGGTCAAATGAAATTTCTATTTCTAGGTCCTTAAGGAATCGCCACACTGTCTTCCACAATGGTTGAACTAATTTACACTCCCACAAACAGTGTAAAATTGTTCCTATTTCTCCACATCTTCTCCAGCATCTGTTGTCTCCAGATTATTTAACGATTGCCATTCTAAGTGGCATGAGATGGTATCTCGATGTAGTTTTGATATGCATTTCTCTAATGACCAGTGATGATGAGCATTTTTTCAAATATTTGTTGGCCTTACATATGTCTTCTTTTGTAAAGTGTCTGTTCATATCCTTCACCCAATGTTGAATGGGCTTTTTTGTTTTTTTCTTGTAGATCTGTTTTTGTTCTTCATAAATTCTGGATATCAGCCCTTTGTCAGATGGGTAAACTGCAAAAATTTTTTCCCATTCTGTTGGTTGCCAATTCACTCTAATGACTGTTTCTTTTGCTGTGCAGAAGCTGTGGAGTTTGATTAGGTCCCATTGGTCTATTTTGGCTTTTGTTGCCAATGTTTTTGGTGTTTTGGTCATGAAGTCCTTGCCTACGCCTATGTCCTGAATGGTTTTTCATAGATTTTCTTTTAGGGTTTTTATGGTGTTAGGTCTTATGTTTAAATCTTTAACCCAACTGGAGTTAATTTTAGTCTAAGTCGTCAGGAAGGGGTCCAGTTTCTGCTTTCTGCACATGGCTAGCCAGTTTAGCCAACACCATTTATTAAATAAGGAATCCTTTCCCCATTGCTTGTTTTTTTCTGGTTTGTAAAAGATTGGATGGTTGTAGATATGTTGTGTTGCCTCCGAGGCCTCCGTTTGTTCCATTGGTCTATATCTCTGTTATGGTACCAGTACCATGCTTTTCTAATTACTATAGCCTTGTAGTATAGTTTGAAGCCCAGTAATGTGATGCCTCCTGCTTTGTTCTTTTTACTTAGAATTGACCCCAGCTGGGGAGAGATAGCAAGGGGAGAAATGCCAGATGTAGGTGATGGGGAGGAAGGCAGCAAATCACACTGCCATGTGTGTTCCTATGCAACAATTGTGCATGTTCTTCACATGTACCCCAAAACCTAAAATACAATAAAATAAATGGGAAAAAAAATAAAATAAAAATAAAAAAAATAAAAAATAAATAAAAATAAATAAACCACATGTCATTTAATGAAGAGCAAGACTACAGACATGAAATGGTTCCAAAGATGTCCATAGCTCAGTAACTCTATTCCTATTCAATCATTTCAGGATCTACATAATGATACATGAAAAACACAAAGTGGTTTAACACTAAAAATATTATCAAACAAATAGTATAATAGATTATTTTATTAAGCAACCCTACACATTTGGTGGTAGATCAAACATTATTCTCTCACTTCATTGTATCAATAGATTTATAAATTTAAACACAAAGTAAAAGTTTGTCTTCTGAAAGTTGATTAAAATTTTAAATGAGATTTTTTTTTTCAGAAAACAGTGAAGAAAAATAAAAACTGGAAATCTGAAAAGAAAAAAAAAAAGAATTGACTTGGCTATGTGGGCTCGCTTTTGTTTCCATATGAAGTTTAAGGTGGTTTTTTCCAGTTCTGTGAATAAGGTCATTAGTAGCTTGATGGGGATTGCGTTGAATCTGTAAATTACTTTGGGCAGTATGGCCATTTTCACGATATTGATTCTTCCTAACCATGAACATGGAATATTTCTCCATCTGTTTGTTAGTTGTATTCCTAGGTATTTTGTTCTCTTTGTAGCAATTGTGAATGACAGTTCGTTCTTGATTTGGCTCTCTTTAAGTCTGTTATTGGTGTATAGGAATGCTTGTGGCTTTTGCACATTGATTTTGTATCCAGAGACTTTGCTGAAGTTGCTTATCAGTTTTAGGAGATTTTGGGCTGAGACGATGGGGTCTTCTAAATATACAATCATGTCATCTGCAAATAGAGACAATTGTACTTTCTCCTTTCCTGTTTGAATACACTTTATTTCTTTTTCTTGCCTGATTGCTCTGTCTAGAACTTCCAGTATTATAATGAACAGGAGTGGTGAGAGCAGGTATCCTTGTCTAGTGCCAGATTTCAAAGGGAATGGTTCCAGTTTTTGCCCATTCAGTATGATATTGGCTGTTGGTTTGTCGTAAATAGCTTTTATTATTTTGAGATATGTTCCGTCAATACCTAGTTTATTGAGGGTTCTTAGCATAAAGGGCTGTTGAATTTTGTCAAAGGTCTTCTCTGCATCTATTGAGATAATCATGTGGTTTTTGTCTTTGGTTCTGTTTATGTGGCAAATTACGTTTATAGACTTGCGTATATTGAACCAGCCTTGAATCACTGGGATGAAACCTACTTGATCATGGAGGATAAGCTTTTTGATGTGCTGTTGCAATCGGCTTACCAGTATTTTATTGAAGATTTTTGCATCTATGTTCATCATGGGTATTGGCCTGAAGTTTTCTTTTCTTGTTTATTCTCTGCCGGGTTTTGGTATCAGGATGATGTTAGTCTCATAAAATGATTTGGGATGGATTCCCTCTTTTTGGATTATTTGGAATAGTTTCAGAAGGAATGGTACGAGCTCCTCTTTGTATGTCTGGTAAACTTCGGCTGTGAACCCATCAGGACCTGGGCTTTTTTTGGGTGGTAAAGTCTTAACTGCTGCCTCAGCTTCAGACCTTGTTATTGGTCTATTCAGGGTTTCAACTTTTTCCTGGTTTAGGCTTGGGAGGAGGCAAGGGTCCAGGAATTTATCCATTTCTTCCAGGTTTACTAGTTTATGTGCATAGAGTTGTTTGTAATAATCTCTGATGATGGTTTGAATTACTGTGGAGTCTGTGGTGATATCCCCTTTATCATTTTTATTGCATCAATTTGGTTATTCTCTCTTTTCTTTTTTATTAATCTGGCTAGTGGTCTACTTTGTTGATCTTTTTGAAAAACAAGCTACTGCATTTATGATTTTTTGAAGGGTTTTTTGTGTCTCTATCTCCTTCAGTTCTGCTCTGATCTTAGCTATTTCTTGTCTTCTGCTAGATTTTGAGATTTTTTGATCTTGCTCCTCTAGCTCTTTCAATTTTGACGATAGGGTGTCAATTTTAGATCTCTCATTGCTTCTCATGTGAGCACTTATTGCTGTATATATTCCTCTAGAGACTGCTTTAAATATGTTCCAAAGAGTCTGGTATGTTGTGTCTTCATTCTCATTGGTTTCGAAGAACATCTTTATTTCTGCCTTCATTTCATTGCTTATCCTGTTAACATTCCAGAGCCAGTTGTTCAGTTTCCATGAAGTTGTGCGGTTCTGAGTTAGTTTCTGCATTCTGAGTTCTAACTCGATTGCACTGTGGTTTGAGAGACTGTTTGTTATGACTTCCATTCTTTTGCATTCGCTGAGGAGTGATTTATTTCCAATTATGTGGTCAATTTTAGAGTAGGTGTGATGTGGTGCTGAGATGAATGTATATTCTGTGAATTTGGGGTGGAGAGTTCTGTAAATGTCTATTAAGTTTGCTTGTTCCAGGTCTGAGTTCAAGTCCTGGATATCCTTGTTAATTTTCTGTGTGGTTGACCTGTCTAATATTGACGATGGGGTGTTAATGCCTCCCACCATTATTGTGTGGGATTCTAAGTCTTCTTCTAAGTCATTAAGAACATGCCTTATGTATCTGGGTGCTCCCGTATTGGGGGGTGTGTATATATTTAGGATCGTTAGCTCTTCTTGTTGTATTGATCCTTTTACCATTATGTAATGTCCTTCTTTGTCTCTTTTGATCTTTGTTGCTTTAAAGTCTATTTTATCAGAGATGAGAATTGCAACTCCTGCTTTTTTTTTTTCTCTCCATTTGCTTGGTAAATCTTCCTCCATCCCTTTATTTTGAGTCTTTGTGTATCCTTGCATGTGAGATGGGTTTCCTGGATACAGCACACTGATGGGTTTTGGCTTTTTATCCAATTTGCCAGCCTGTGTCTTTTGATTGACAGATTTAGTTCATTTACATTTAGGGTTAATATTGTTATGTGTGAATTTGTTACTGCCATTTTGATGCTAGCTGGCTGTTTTGTTCATTAGTTGATGCAGATTCATGATTGTGTTTATGCTCTTTACAATTTGGTATGTTTTTGCATTGGCTGGTACTGGTTGTTCCTTTGTATGTGTGGAGCCTTTTTCAAGAGCTCTAGTAAAGCAGGTGTGGTGGTGATGAAAACTCTGAGTGCTTGCTTGTTCACAAAGGATTTTATTTTTCCTTCACTTATGAAGCTATTTGGCTGGATAGGAGATTCTGAGTTGAAAGTTCTTTTCTTTAAGGATGTTGAATATTGGCCCCCACTCTCTTTGGGCTTGCAGGGTTTCTGCTGAGAGATCTGCTGTGAGTCTTATGGGCTTCCCTCTTTGCATAACCCGACCTTTCTCTTTGGCTGCCCTTAGCATTTTCTCCTTTATTTCAATCCTGGTGTACCTTGGGGTTGCACTTCTTGAGGAATATCTTTGTGGTGTTCTCTGTATTTCCTGGACTTGAATATTGGCCTGCCTTGCTAGGTTGGGGAAGTTTTCCTGGATAATATCCTGAAGAGTATTTTCCAGCTTTGGTTCATTCTCTTCTTCACATTCAGGCACACCTATCATACATAGATTAGGTCTTTTCTCATAGTCCCACATTTCTTGGAGACTTTGTTCATTCCTTTTTTTTCCCATTTATTTATTTTATTGCATTTAGGTTTTTGGGTACATGTGAAGAACATGCAAGATTGTTGCATAGGTACACACGTGGTACTGCAATTTGATGCCTTCCTCTCCATCACCTACATCTGGCATCTCTCCCCTTGCTATCTCTCCACAACTCCCCACCCCCCACTGACCCTCCCCTAATTCCCCCCAACAGACCCCAGCGTGTAGTGCTCCGCTCCCTGTGTCCATGTGTTCTCATTGTTCAAGACCCGCCTATGAGTGAGAACATGCAGTGTTTGACCTTCTGCTCTTGTGTCAGTTTGCTGAGAATGATGGTTTCCAGGTTCATCCATGCACTTATAAAGGACATAGAAACATCGTTTTTGATGGCTGTGTAATATTCCATGGTGTATATGTGCCACATTTTCCCTGTCCAGTCTATCATCGATGGGCATTTGGGTAGGTTCCAGGTCTTTGCTATTGTAAACAGTGCTGCAATGAACATTCTTGTGCATGTGTCCTTATAGTAGAACGATTTAAAATCCTTTGGATATATACCCAGTAATGGGATTGCTGGGTCAAATGAAATTTCTATTTCTAGGTCCTTGAGGAATCGCCACACTGTCTTCCACAATGGTTGAACTAATTTACACTCCCACCAACAGTGTAAAAGTGTTCCTGTTTCTCCACATCCTCTCCAGCATCTGTTGTCTCCAGATTGTTTAATGATCGCCATTCTAACTGGCATGAGATGGTATCTCAATGTAGTTTTGATTTGCATTTCTCTGATGACTAGTGATGATGAGCATTTTTTCATATGTTTGTTGGCCTCATGTATGTCTTCTTTTGTAAAGTATCTTTTCATATCCTTTGCTCACTTTTGAATGGGCTTGTCTCTTTTTTTCTTGTTAATCTGTTTTAGTTCTTTGTAAATTCTGGATATCAGCCATTTGTCAGATGGGTAAACTGCATAAAGTTTTTCCCATTCTGATGGTTGCCGATTCACTCTAATGACTGTTTCTTTTGCCGTGCAGAAGCTGTGGAGTTTAATTACGTCCCATTTGTCTATTTTGGCTTCTGTTGTCAATGCTTTTGGTGTTTTGGTCATGAAGTCCTTGCCTATGCCTATGTCCTGAATGGTTTTGCCTAGATTTTCTTTTAGGGTTTTTATGATGTTAGGTCTTATGTTTAAGTCTTTAATCCATCTGGAGTTAATTTTAGTGTTAGGTGTCAGGAAGGGGCCCAGCTTCTGCTTTCTGCACATGGCTAGCCAGTTTTCCCAACACCATTTATTAAACAGGGAATCCTTTCCCCATTGCTTGTTTTTGTCAGGTTTGTCAAAGATCAGATGGTTGTAGATATGTTGTGTTGCCTCCAATTCCTCTGTTCTCTTCCATTGGTCTATATCTCTATTTTGGTACCAGTACCATGCTGTTTTGATAACTGTAGTCTTGTAGTATAGTTTGAAGTCCGGTAGTGTGATGCCTCCTGCTTTGTTCTTTTTGCTTAAAATTGACTTAGCTATGTGGGCTGTCTTTTGGTTACATATGAAGTTTAAGGTGTTTTTTTTCCAGTTGTGTGAATAAGGTCATTGTTAGCTTGATGGGGATTGCGTTGAATCTGTAAATTACTTTGGGCAGTATGGTCATTTTCACGATGTTGATTCTTCCTAACCATGAACATGGAATGTTTCTCCATCTGTTTGTGTCCTCTCTTATTTCGTTGAGCAGTGGCTTGTAGTTCTCCTTGAAGAGGTCCTTTACGTTCCTTGTTAGTTGTATTCCTAGGTATTTTATTCTCTTTGTGGCAATTGTGAATGGAAGTTCGTTCTTGAGAAGAATGTATATTCTGTGGATTTGAGGTGGATAATTCTGTAAATGTCTATTATGTTTGCTTGGTCCAGGTCTGAGCTCAGGTCCTGGATATCCTTGTTAATTTTCTGTCTGGTTGATCTGTCTAATATTGACAATGGGGTGTAGGAGTCTAAGTCTCTTTGTAAGTCATTAAAAACTTGCCTTATGTATCTGGGTGCTCCTGTATTGGGTGTGTATATATTTAGGATCATTAGCTCTTCTTGTTGTATGGATCCTTTTACCATTATGTAATGTCCTTCTTTGTCTCTTTTGATCTTTGTTGCTTATAGTCAAATTTATCAGTGATGAGAATTGCAACTCCTGCTTTTTTTTTGTTCTCCATTTGCTTGGTAAATCTTCCTCCATCCCCTTATTTTGAGCCTTTGTGTATCCTTGCATGTGAGATGGGTTTCTTGGATACAGCACACCAATGGGTTTTAGCTTTTTATCCAACTTGCCAGTGTGTGTCTTTTGATTAGGGTATTTAGTCCATTTACATTTAGGGTTAATATTGTTATGTGTGAATTCAATACTGCCATTTTGGTGCTAACTGGCTGTTTTGCCCATTAGTTGATGCCGATTCTTCATTGTGTTGATGCTCTTTACCATTTGCCACGTTTTTGGAGTGGCTGGTGCTGGTTGTTCCTTTATATGTGTAGAGCCTCTTTCAGGAGCTCTTGTAAAGCAGGCCTGGTGGTGACGAAATCTCTGAGTACTTTCTTGTTCACAAAGGACTTTATTTTTCCTTCACTTATGAAGCTTAATTTGGTTGGGTAGGAGATTCTGGGTTGAAAGTTCTTTTCTTTAAGGATGTTGAATATTGGCCCCCACTCTCTTCTGGCTTGTAGTGTTTCTGCTGAGAGGTCTGCTGTGAGTCTGATGGGCTTCCCTTTGTGGGTAACCTGATCTTTCTCTCTGGCTGCCCTTAGTATTTTCTCCTTCATTTCAACCCTGGTGAATCTGACGATTATGTGCCTTGGGGTTACTCTTCTTGAGGAATATCTTTGTGGTGTTCTCTGTATTTCCTGAACTTGAATATTTGCCTGCCTTGCTAAGTTGGGGAAATTTTCCTGGATAATATCCTGAAGAGTGTTTTCCAGCTTGGATTCATTCTCTTCCTCACATTCAGGTACACCTATCAAACGTAGATTAGGTCTTTTCACATAGCCCCACATTTGTTGGAGACTTTGTTCATTCCTTTTTACCCTTTTTTCTATTCTTGCCTTTCCATATTATTTCATTGAGTTCATCTTCGACCTCTGATATCCTTTCTTCTACTTGGTGAATTCGGCTGTTGGAACTTGTGCATGCTTCACGAAGCTCTCGTGTTGTGTTTTTCAGCTCCATCAATTCACTTATATTCCTTTCTATTTTGTCCATTCTCATTAGCATTTCGTCAAGTCTTTTTTCAAGGTTCTTAGTTTCTTTGCATTGGGTTAGAACATGTTCTTTTAGTTCGCTGAAGTTTCTTACTACCCACCTTCTGAAGTCTGATTTTGTCATTTCATCACACTCGTTCTCCATCCGACCTTGTTCCCTTACTGGTGAGGAGTTGTGATTCCTTGTAGGAGGAGAGGTGTTCTGGTTTCGGGTGTTTGCATGCTTTTTGCGCTGGTTTTCTTCCATCTTCATGGATTTATCCACCTGTCGTCTTTGTAGTTGTTGGCTTTCAGATTGGGTCTCTGATTGGACGTTCTGATTGTTGATGATGAGCTTATTTCTGTTTCTTAGTTTTTCTTCTAACAGTCTGGCCCCTCTGCTGTAGGTCTGCTGAGGTCCACTCCACGTCCTGCTTGCCTGGGGATCACCTCCAGCAGCTGCAGAACAGTAAAGGTTGCTACCAGTTTTCTTCTTCTGCTATCTTTGTCCCAGAAGGATACCTGCCAAGTGTCATTCTGATCTCTCCTTTATGAGGTGGTTCTTTGGATATCCAGGGGTCAGGGAGCTGCTTGAGGAGACAGTCTGTTGTTTATAGGAGCTCAAATGCTGAGCTGTGAGCTCCATTGTTCATTCAGAGCTGCTGGGCAGGTATGTTTAGGTCTGCTGAAGCAGAATTCATAAACTACTTTTTGTTCTCAGGTACTCTGTCCCAGGGATTTAGGGCTTTATTTATGAGTTTCCTTTGTGCTGCTGTCTTCTTTTTTTTTTCCTTCAGAGCTGCCCTGCCCAGCAAGGAGACAGGGTAGTCACTGTGCCTGTAGAGGATTTGCTGAGCTTCTGTGGGCTCCGCCCACCTGCCAAGTGAACTTCCCTGCAGTCCTGTTTATATGGGTGTAGTTAGAACTGTCTCGGCAATGGCAGCCCACCTCTTTATTGGCGGGATGCCTTGGCAATGGCAGGCTGCCTCAGCAATGGTGGGTTGCCTTGGCAACGGCGGACTGCCTCAGCATTGGCTGACTACCTCTGTAGTTTTGGAGTGCCTCAGTAATTGCAGATGCCCCTCCCCCACAGAGCTGGACCATCCCGGGTTCAGCTGCGCTTGCTGTGAAACTCTCAATCCAGAGAGTTTCTGATTGCTGTTCTTTTGTCGGGGTGGGACCAGCCAAGACTGATCACCTGGCTCCCTGACTCAGAGCCTTTTTTTTTTTATTAAGTTGGTGTTCCAGTCGCCTTTTGAAGAGGCGCCTGGATCTGTGTGTTGTCCCTTGCGGCGACTCACTGCGCTGGCTTAAACAGCAGCACTGAGATTCCTGGCGCTTTTTTTGCCCTGGAATCTACTGTCCTGTTTCCCTGTTCAGTCCACTTTTTAAACAGATGAATGGGCAACTTCCCGTGGCTCCAATCATCAGCCAAAAGGGCACCCGGACTAGTGTATTTTTTACAGATATCTGCTGTGCCGGGGCGCTGACAAAGCAGCCGCATGGGGCAAAGCAGCAGTGCCGGCCCACACAGCCCCGCTGGCCAAAACAGCCGCTCTGGTGACCTGTGGGGCTTCTCCGCCTGGGATTTTCCTAGTCTGTGGGCAATAAAAATGCGGCGTCCACTCACCCTCTGTGCTTTCACTGGGAGCTGCAATTCTGAGCTGTTCCTAAATGACCATCTTGGATCGATCCACCATTCACTCCTTTTAACACTTTTTTCTCTATTCTTGCCTTCTTGTTTTATTTTATTGAGTTGATCTTCGACCTCTGATATCCTTTCTTGTGCTTGGTCAATTCGGCTGTTGAAACTTGTGCATACTTTGGAAGTTCTCGTGTTGTGTTTTTCAGCTCCATGAATTCATTTATATTCCTCTCTATGTTGTCCATTCTCATTAGCATTTCTTCAAATCTTTTTTCAAGGTTCTTAGTTTCTTTGCATTGGGTTAGAACATGATCTTTTAGCTCGCTGTAGTTTCTTATTACCCACCTTCTGAAATCTGATTCTGTCATTTCATCATACTCCTTCTCCATCCATCCTTGTTCCCTTGCTGGTGAGAAGTTGTGATCCCTTGTAGGAGGAGAGGTGTTCTGGTTTCCAGTGTTTTCATCTTTTTTGTGCTGGTTTCTTCCATCTTTGTGGGTTTATCCACTTGTTGTCTTTGTAGTTACTGACGTTCAGATTGGGTCTCTGAGTGAACTTTCAGTGTGTGGATGCTGAAGTTACTTCTGCAGTCCAGGCCCTGCTTTCCTGGGGATCACCTGTAGCAGCTGCAGAACAGTAAGGGCTGCTGCCAGTTTCCTCTTCTGATATCTTTGTCCCAGTAGGATGCCCGCCAAATGTCAGTCTGTTCTCTCCTTTATGAGGTGACTCTTTGGATATATGGGGTCAGGGAGCTGCTTGAGGAGACAGTCTGTCCTTTATTGGAGCTCAAGTCCTGAGCTGTGAGCTCCCTTATTCATTCAGAGTTGCTGGGCAGGTATGTTTAGGTCTGCTGCAGCAGAACTCATAAACTCCCTTTTTTTTTTTTTTCCCTAGGTGCTCTGTCCCAGGGAGTTAGGGCTTTATTTAAGCGTTTCTGTTGTGCTGCTGCCTTTTTTTATTTTTTCAGGGCTGCCCTGCCCAGCTAGGAGGCAGCTTAGTCACTGTCTGCCTGCAGAAGCTTTGCTGAGCTGCTGTGGGCTCTGCCCAGCTGCCGTGTGATCTTCCCTGCAGTCCTGTTTATATGGGTATAGTTAGAACTGCCTCAGCAATGGTGGCCCGCCTCTGTTATGGCGGAATCTCTCTGTAGTGGCAGGTTGCCTTGGTAATGGCGGGTTGCCTCAGCAACGGCAGGCTGCCTTAGTGATGGTCAGACTGCCTCCGTAGTGGTGGAGTGTCTCAATAATGGTGGACACCGCTCCCCCACATAGCCGGACCTTCCCGGGTTCAGCTGTGCTTGCTGTGAAACTCTCAACCCAAAGTGTTTTCAATTAGGTTTTTTTTTTTTTTTTTGTGGGGGTGGTGGGGCCAGCCGAGCCTGATCACCTGGCTCCCTGACTCAGAGTCTTTTTTTGTTGTTGTTGTTGAATGGTCGACTGTCTCCCAGTGTTCCAGTCGCCTGTTGAAAAGGTGTCGGGATCTCCCGTGCCGCGACTCGATGAGCCAGCTGAAACAGCGGCGCTGAGATTCCTGGCGGTTTTTTTGCCTAGGAATCTCCTGGCCTGGCTTGCTATTTCAGATGAATAGGCCACTCTGACGTCTCAGGGCTCCAATCACCAGCTAAGAGGGCACCCAG